GGGGGGGGGGGTAAATAAATAAATTATCAGAAGCAACAGTTAATATATGCATGGCTTGTACCATACTTTTTTGTTAATAATAATTTTAAGATTAAAAAGATCCAAAAATTCTCAAATATTGGAAAAGATTTATAATTTTTAATAACTTTTCATATCAGTTCATTTTTTATTTTTTTTTTATTTAATCATTTATTTTCATCAGCGTTAGACATTAAAAAAATATAATAATAAATAAAATAATAATAATAGATAATTACCTTTTGGAACATAAGTGTGATATGCACAGTGCATACAGACACAGTGGTAATCAGGACAAAGTGGAATAATTGCTGAATTCTCTGTCAATTATTAAATATTGATGCATGGATGTGATTTTGTAATTAGTAACTAATCTCACTATACTCTAAGCTAGTGAGTAGTGGGGTAGGTCAAATAGGCCTGTAAAAAGTCTGGCCGCGCCATTAAAGTTTAAGCATAGATGGCATAGGATAGGGTCGGACCAGTACTTGCTGAGGGTCTAAGATAGGTAGAAGGAGCCGGTCCGGGTTGAATTCAAATTTACCCTAGCCCACCGTGATCTATCTATAATGCGTCTAAAACATTTTTAAAAATATATCAGTTTAAACTTAATTCATATCTTATAATGTAAATAAAAGACAAGATGACAATTATTCCACTGGTTTCTTGTCACCACAATATATATATATTTATATATAGAAGAGAGAACTAGTCTTGTTTTATACTCCTGAGGCGGAGAGGCAGAGTAAATTAAAGTTTGATTAGTTTGATAAAAAAGTTAGGCATAGTGACAGTAGCCTATTCATTTTACTAACATTCCTTGAACAAATTTCGATTGAGAAGTATTTTTTTACAGGGAAAATTATAGTATTCAGGCAAAGCTGGGAAATAATATTCCTGAAAGTGTAAAAAAATCTTATTTTCTGGAAAGATAGATAGATAATTTCTTAACAATGATTACATTGTTAATCATTGAGTTAATTAAAACTTACAATGTTAGGGAATTCATTAAAAAGAATTTCACAATTCTTTTCAAATTAACAAAACAAAAGTATTACCAGACTTTATAACCTTCCTTTTTGCGTTTTCACAATTAAAATTACCGTGTGTTAGAAAATGTTTCTGTATTAAAATTAAGACTAATAAATTGTTTAAATTATTAGGCCGGACCGGGATATAAAAATGATAAAAATGTCGCAGTTATAAAATTACCCATTTTCCTTCAATTTGATGTAAGGCTAAAGTAGTATTATTAAATCAAAAGATTAGGATAATAGGTCAAAATATCGTTGTTTCACAAGTCAGTGTAATAAATGTCGTCTTTTTACAGACAAATATGGGCGTAGATGATTTCTATGGTGGAGTGGAGGGGGGAGGTACCCACTCTACTACAATGATATTCAGGTGAGAAAAAAGCATAAAAATTGTAATTTTATTTTTATGATTTAATTAAATTTTTATCTTGTGAATGCGAAATGCGCATTTAACATTTTATCTACAGGGTGTCCCATGAAATTAACATGACTTGGTAAATACTTTGAAAAGAATAATGAAAAATATTGTATGTCATTTATAAAATAGTAAATTTGAATTCAAAGAAAACATATTTGAGTAAAAGTCTTTAATAATACAGATTACAGTATATGGAAGAAGACATTCAAAACTGTTTCGTGTATGTTCCTTCAAGCTCTTGTTTTTAATAATCGCTCTGCACTATTTTTCAGTTTTATTTTAAGGGACAGAAATATCTAATATCAAGTGAGCTTTCATTGTAGAATGCCACATCCGATTCACAAAAACATAAACTAGATATTCAAGTTTTTAACTTTGTAAACTGATTATTTTCAATTGTGGTTTCTTTATAATGTCATTTCCAGGGGCGTATCCATGAATTTGTCCAGCAGCAGGCCCCCCCCCCTTTTTTTTAATAGGTCTATGCGTGTTTCTGCTAAAATATATCGAGATTCTTGTCAGAACATAATATTTTGAGGCCCAAAAACTTTGGTGTTTTTGACTTGCACATTTTTGATCAGAAAAGGGTTTTAAGAGTACCATTGTGAACTGGGCATGCCACATTTAGATGGAGTGTCAATACAGTCCCTTTTAAACACATCAATAACAAAATTATCTTACGAAAGTTTTTATTATTATTTAGAGGGAATGGGGAGTTAGTGGCAACTATTGAGGGACCTTCCACAAACCATTACCAGGTAGAAAAATATCAAATATTTTGTGTCAACCTCGCGCAACTATCTATCTGTCTTAACCCGACCTGACCTGGATTAGTATTATCACGCGAGGTTGCTAAAAATGATAAAGGGGCGGTCCAGAAGAACTATGAGAGTACCTATGATATGTTTTTATTCCATAAAATTTCGTTTTATCCTGTTAAAATAATCGTAGTATAGACTTGATAAGAATTTAGTATTCAAAAGCCAAGATTGAGTGGAATAACAAAGCATGGTTGCACACATTATATTATAATGATACAAACGATTATTGTTGGACTAACTAGAGTTGATCTAAATATGCATGATATTTGCCAGGGGCGAATACATTTCCATTTGACTATAATAAATTTTTTTTCTCGCTTTTTAAAGTGAGTTTGAACCTGATTTTAAGTGACTTTTCATGCAAAGATGGCATTGCCCGATTTAATGTGTTTGTTTCTTTAAGCTGTTTATTTTCATTTGCGGGTTCTTGCACATTTTTTCTTTTAATATGCAATAGAGAAGCTTACAGAAATAAACAATTGTCTAGTCAAAAGAACGATGTTTTCTTCCGTATTTCTGATCTGATTTGGGTTTTCAAGGGTACTGTTGTAAATCGGGCATCGTCATCTTTGAATGGAGGGACACTTGAAATTTCGCTGACAGTCCCTTTAACAGCTTATTTTCTGTTTCGTAGATTGGTAAAGAGGAAACAAGTAGAAGAGTAGAGGCTATGGTTAGAGAAGCATTTAAACAAGCAGGACTAGAGGAACACACTAATCTTCAAGGTATAGAGGTCTAAACCTTTATATAGGACTAGAGGAACACACTAAACTATAAGGTATCGAGGTCTGAACCTTAAAATAGGACTAGAGGAACACACTAAACTTCAAGGTATAGAAGTCTGAACCCTTAAATAGGACTAGAGGAACATACTAAACTTCAAGGTATAGAGGTCT